AGCTTATACTTTTAGTTAATTTGTTTACTATATTCCTGACCAGAGTTATTGTGACAAAGCAAAAAGTAACTCAGATTTACACTAAAAATAAATAAAATCGATTACAAGATGTAGTTACTTTTCAATGTTTCCGAATGTTTTAACTACCTAAGTATATTGGTCATTATAAAATTTTTTTAAATTTGCCTCAGTGCACAGGAAATTTGAATGGATGTTGTCGATTTCGCTTTTGGTCTGGAGTAGTTAATCTATAAATGAGTCAGTTTATTTCTTCTTAGCATTATCTACAAGATATTTAGAACCATTAATGTACCCTCCTCAATTAATTAAATTTTATGTCCTTATTATGCAAAAACAACAGCGCATTTAGTACAAAGCTTTTCATTTGGTCCTTCAGCATTCAGTAAGACGTATTTAGCCTTTATTTAATTAAAGATTTCTTACTTTTTTTTCAGGATGCTGTAAACAAAATGGTTGATTGCAATTATAATGAAATTCTGAACTCTATTTAAACTTTTCACTAAAAATGTTAGAGCTCTAATGAACAGGAGTGTCCATACCATTCCAAATCTGTAAGGACGAGAGATGTATTTGATCTTCTTTTCTCATTTGAATTTTAATTAATGATTGTTATGATTAATTATTATTCATAAACTAATATACGTTATATTCACTACTATAGATACTTTAAACTATTTCAGTGAAAATTGATTTAATTTGAAGAAAAATAATAAATATTTCACAGCTTTGTTAGTTCTTTTAATTTGTATGACTTCATATAATTGTATTGATTATACAAAAATAGAATTTATTTAAATACTAGAAGTTTGAAGTAAAGGAGAATATAAACCAAACTGGATGAGCTATAGGATTAAAATTCAAGTTTGAAAGTATTAAAATAATGAAAATAAGTAAAATAAAATATCGAATTACGATAAGTTAGTTTTGTTTATTATAATACCATCATACACACTGATAGATCTAATAATAGTAATGGTTTGATGAATATACGAGTGTTCAGCTGAAAAATTTAATCAAGTTCATTAAAAATTAGAAAGAATATAAAAGTTTGTTTTTTATTATGTGCTCAAAATTAATCCCTCCACCCTAATAAATTTATCACATTTGTTGATAGAATCAATAATAGATTGAAAAAGATTAATATTTATTTAATAATATCAAAATTAAAAGATAATTCAATTTATTAAATTAAAATTATGAGTTCTTTAAACTTAATATTATAATTCTTTATGATTTAGGAATCTTAAAATATTAATATTGCTGATCTATGTTAATATTTAGAAATAACTCTTTTTATTACTCCTCAAAATCTCATTCTATAATAAATGTCAAAATACATGAAATTGTAAGTAAATAATAATTATTATATTAGCCTATTTCAAATATTAAATAAATTCAAATATTTTTTGATAATAATTAGTATAGATTTTATACAACGAAATAGTTTAACAAATGTAAAAATAAGTTAGATACAAACATAATTCATATAATATAGAATCTAGAATCCTTTGGAAGATTCTATCTATATTTCATTTTGACTGTCTCTTGAGATTGTTTATTTAATGCTAATAAGGAATACAATGCGTTGTTCATGCATTTCTTTGATGTTAATTCTTTTTTAGTTTTTTCTATTTAATTAGACCGAACTTAAGTTCTTAGTCTTTAGCCTAAATCTTGCTTTATCTGGGTTAAATTGAATTATCTTTTAATTTTGATATTATTAAATAAATATTAATCTTTTTCAATCTATTATTGATTCTATCAACAAATGTGATAAATTTATTAGGGTGGAGGGATTAATTTTGAGCACATAATAAAAAACAAACTTTTATATTCTTTCTAATTTTTAATGAACTTGATTAAATTTTTCAGCTGAACACTCGTATATTCATCAAACCATTACTATTATTAGATCTATCAGTGTGTATGATGGTATTATAATAAACAAAACTAACTTATCGTAATTCGATATTTTATTTTACTTATTTTCATTATTTTAATACTTTCAAACTTGAATTTTAATCCTATAGCTCATCCAGTTTGGTTTATATTCTCCTTTACTTCAAACTTCTAGTATTTAAATAAATTCTATTTTTGTACAAATTAAAAGAACTAACAAAGCTGTGAAATATTTATTATTTTTCTTCAAATTAAATCAATTTTCACTGAAATAGTTTAAAGTATCTATAGTAGTGAATATAACGTATATTAGTTTATGAATAATAATTAATCATAACAATCATTAATTAAAATTCAAATGAGAAAAGAAGATCAAATACATCTCTCGTCCTTACAGATTTGGAATGGTATGGACACTCCTGTTCATTAGAGCTCTAACATTTTTAGTGAAAAGTTTAAATAGAGTTCAGAATTTCATTATAATTGCAATCAACCATTTTGTTTACAGCATCCTGAAAAAAAAGTAAGAAATCTTTAATTAAATAAAGGCTAAATACGTCTTACTGAATGCTGAAGGACCAAATGAAAAGCTTTGTACTAAATGCGCTGTTGTTTTTGCATAATAAGGACATAAAATTTAATTAATTGAGGAGGGTACATTAATGGTTCTAAATATCTTGTAGATAATGCTAAGAAGAAATAAACTGACTCATTTATAGATTAACTACTCCAGACCAAAAGCGAAATCGACAACATCCATTCAAATTTCCTGTGCACTGAGGCAAATTTAAAAAAATTTTATAATGACCAATATACTTAGGTAGTTAAAACATTCGGAAACATTGAAAAGTAACTACATCTTGTAATCGATTTTATTTATTTTTAGTGTAAATCTGAGTTACTTTTTGCTTTGTCACAATAACTCTGGTCAGGAATATAGTAAACAAATTAACTAAAAGTATAAGCTAAATAAATAGATCATCAAATAGCAACATATATTAATGATATTAAGAATCATTACGAAAAAATAGTGTAGATGAGTCCTCTCCCCTTCAATTAAATCATGGGGGGATACAGCAGCAAACTCTTTAAACTTT